CCTCCTGCTGTTTGCTTCACACACACACACACGCGGTGCCGGCCGCATTGCTGTGCGCCGCACGGATTTGACGCAACTGATGGGTTGAAGCGCAGGCCGAACGCCGCAAGGAATGTGCGAAGGATGTGTGTGGGCTTGTGCGACCTGGGCGATGTTTCTTTTTGTTCGTGCAGGTATTAAAATACATACACTCTCACAGTCCTCTTGGGCTGCCGGACACGTGAGGTAAAGGAGCAACACCTGCAGAAGTGATTCTTTTTTTTATATTGTGAGGGCTTTGCGGGAGGCAGCGTCACATCTCTTCCTTGACTGCTTTTCTCTGCGGCCTGGGCGATGCTCACCGCCACCGCGTGCGGTCGCGCCGTTCTTAAATCCCTCTTCTGCCGGTGTGCTGGGGCGGCTCCGTTCTGTTGCCTTCCTCTTTTGTCTCTCCTATTTCACTTGATCACATATACACGCGCCGAAGGAAGGAGACCAAACGCTGCTTGCCGCTGTGCGCTTTGAAGGCTCCGAAGTCGCACACAACGCACAACACACACACACACAATTGTTGCGGTTGGAGCGGATCCGCCACAAGGAGGAAGAGAGAGAGGGCGGCCCAACATGCCCCGACATCTGTTTTCTTCTGCGGTGCTGCTGCTCCTTTTTTTCATATGCTGCGGCAGTCAGTCTGTGCAAGCTGATGAACCTGTTGCAGTGAATGCTGTTGACCCGGTAGAAGGGACAACATTGTTATCCGATGCCAAATGGGAGTACATTAAATCCACTGAGGGGTCATTGAGCTCGCTGCGCGTCCCCAGTCTCGTTAAAGTGGGAGAAGATGTGTTTGCCGTTGCCGGGGCGTGGTGCAAGAAGACTGACGGAAGCGGCTTTGCTGGGATTGCGTCGACGCACCTCAAGGAACCTGAAACTGCCGCCGCAACGGAGGTCTCAGCAACGGACGCAAGTTCGTTCGCCACGCAGCTGCTAAAGAAGGGCGAGGAGGCAACGGACGTCATGTGGCCGACAACAATTGTCCGGGGCACCGATGTCTACGTGCTGCTGGGAAACTACAGCCGTGCCGAGCCCACGGCTGAAACCCCCGGTACCGATGGCTGGAACCTGCTGATGGTGAAGGGAACTGTCACTGGAAGCAGTGAAGCGAAGAAACTCACATGGAGTGAGACCCATGCAGTGAAGCCCCAATCCGCAGGAGACCATGATTCCCTGACGCGGCTGGTTGGCGGCGGAGGCTCGGGTGCTGTGCTGAAGGATGGCACGCTTGTGTTCCCCATGCAGGCCATTGACAAGGAGAAAAAGAGTGCTCTGCTGACCATGCGCCTCACCGAGTCAAAGAAGAAGTGGGAGCTTTTGTCAGTGGCGACGGAGGTGAGCTGCAGGGACCCGTCCATCGTGGAGTGGGGGGACGACGGAAGCCTCCTCATGGTCGCTTCCTGCGAGGGTGGATGCTACGATGTGTTCATTTTGGCTGCGGATGGGAGGCAATGGTATCGTGTGTTTGCGTCGATTGCCTGCGTGTGGGGCAACACACATGCCGGGAAAGGGTTCCACGTGCGCACCGGCCTCATCACGGCGGACATCGAGGGAAGGAAGGTTGTGCTCCTCACCGCGCCGGTGTATTCAGGGGAGGCAAGCGTCGTAACGGGTCGGCTGCACCTTTGGGTGACAGACATGCAACGCGTGCACGATGTCGGTCCGGCATCCGCTGCCGACCACAACGCCGTCGCCAGCTCCCTGCTGTACAAAAACGACACGAAGGAGGAATTGACTTTGCTGTACGAGAAGGTGAGTGGAGACTATTACGACCTTGTTTCTCTGCGCCTGACCGAGCAGCTGCAGCGGGTACATCAAGTGGTGCGGCGCTGGACCGCATTGGACGAGGCCCTGCAAAGCTGCACCTCCACTGGCAGTGGTGAGCCGCAAAAGACAGAGGGCAGTTGCAAAGGCTCTGTTCCCACGGAAGGGCTGGTGGGCCTTTTGTCCGGCACGCTGGATCAGACTGCGTGGGTGGACGAGTACCTCGGCGTGAACGCAACAGTAACGAATGAGGCGGTGACAGCGACAAAGGCTTCTAACGGGCTGCAGTTCAAAGGCGCCGGAGCGGGGGCGCAGTGGCCCGTGGGGAAACTGGGGCAGAACCAGCCGTACTACTTTGCAAACACTGCGTTCACGCTTGTGGCGACGGTGACGATCCACGCGGTGCCGGCGGACGGGAGCAGCCCTCTGCCTTTGCTGGGTGCGAGGATGAATGACGGCGCCAACACCGTGCTTTTTGGTTTGGCGTACACGAAGGACAAAAGGTGGAGTTTCACGCTGCACAGTAATACTTCTGATGGGTCTGCTGTCACGTGGGAACCAGGCACAGCCTACCGGGTGGCAGTGACGAGGGATTGGAATGCCTGGGTCGTCTACGTGGACGGGAGTGTGGTTGACGAGGGGAACTACGATGGCCCGCTGCTCGTCTCGGCCATGGTCTCGCACTTCTACTTCGGCGCCGAAGCCAAGGACGGTGCAACAGAGAGCGTCGACGTGACGGTGGCCGACGTCCTGCTGTACAACCGCGCGCTTGGCGGTGATGAGATCCGGCAGCTCAAAGACGGCGCAGTCACAATTCCACGACCGGCTGCTGCGGGGGAGGCAAAAAAGCCGGAGACTGACTCCTTGACACCCGGCGGCAGCGGTGTGAAGGCGAACTTTCCCGCGCTAGCACCAGGGGAAAACGCTGTTGACGGTGCGCTACCTAAAGACCCTCAACCGGCGTCTGTGGGGGCGGGCACTGGAACTCCCCCCTCGCAGAAACCGGCACGCTCACAGGCGCCTTCTGCACCCAAAGGCCCGGCAGACAGTGAAGGGGACGCACTGCGGCAAGGCAGCGGGGCACAGACACTACCACCGCCACCATCGGGGCGAACCCATGGAGCCACTCACGCTGGCGATGGCGCTGATGCATCTCATGCGGGCCAGGCCCCGAACGAGGCGGAGGAAAGGCAGAAGGAGAGCAAGGAGCAAAGTGGCGACGCCGCCTCGGGGTCTCCGCCGGATTTGGCGGCAGCAGCAGCATCGAAGACGAACACTCCTGCTGGACTGGGTGGGGATGGTACGGCTGCCGCCGAGCCTGAAAATGAGGGTGAGGGTGAAACGCCGGGTCCCGAAAAGAAGGACGCTGCTCCGGAGGCGGTGCTGAGCTCGGACGGCAGCCCTCCTGCGCGCAGTGACGCTGACCAGCCTCCCGCGAGCAACACCACCGGCACTTTTCTCCCCGGCAACGTCTCCGCTGCCTTCAAGAACATGACTGGCTTGAGGCCCAGCGAGGGAGACAGCGACGGCGCTGTGCGTGGGTGTGTGTCTCGGCTATTGCTGCTTGTCCTGCTGGGGCTGTGGAGCACGACGGCTCTCCGCTGAATGCAAGAGGGAGAGATGACTTTTGGGACGCCTCAGTGGTAATAATAATAATATTGTTTCCAAGCGCTACACATTGCATTTCTTCAAGGACCGCATTCTTCCATTTATATCTTTTAATAAAAAAGCACATTAACCTTTTCATTTTGTTTTGCTGGTGGGGCTTTGCTGGAATAATCGGGGCCCCTGTTCTTTTCTTCTTGGGCTTCCAATTCTCGCTTGCTATACGCACTGCTGAGAGCGACGTATTTTCCCTCCTGCTTGTTTGCTTCACACACACACACACGCGGTGCCGGCCGCATTGCTGTGCGCCGCACGGATTTGACGCAACTGATGGGTTGAAGCGCAGGCCGAACGCCGCAAGGAATGTGCGAAGGATGTGTGTGGGCTTGTGCGACCTGGGCGATGTTTTCTTTTTGTTCGTGCGGGTATTAAAATACATACACTCTCACAGTCCTCTTGGGCTGCCGGACACGTGAGGTAAAGGAGCAACACCTGCAGAAGTGAGTTCGTTTTTTTTCCCATTTAATTTAACGAGGGGCATTGCGGGGTTTCCATTTCTTTTCTTTTGTTTTAATTTTTTTCGTTGGGGCAACTCACTGCGGCTCACGCTGAGTGTGTGCGCCGTGTCCGCCGCTGTCGCCGCGTGTCTCTGCGTCCTGTTTCTCCCCGCCGCCGGCTCGCCCCCATTTCCTCCTCTTCCTTTCCGCTGGAGGCGCCCAGCTGGGCCCGCGCGCGCGTGTTCGAAAACTTCGCCCGGAACGCGTCCCGCCGCGCATTCCCATTGCACTGCAACTAATGGAATACGCTCCCCACTTTCGGT